CGGGCATTTTGTGGTGTATTGGGTGGGTGTTGAAATGGCAGTTTCACTTACGATTACTGGCCGCCGTTGGCTTCCGACAAATGACGGTTGATTGCAGGAATTAATGCCCCGATCAGAGGCGGCTCCTCTGGGTGTTATAGCACCTCGTTAATGTACCAATTCTGCTCCATCCACAGCGGACCAACAGCAGCCACGCCCACACACACGCCCACAACTGCAGCAACAACAGATGCAACCTCCGCGAGACTCTTGAAGCCCATTGTGCCCTATGATCTCGATCTCCAGCTGAATGGCATCCAGTATCTAGGGGGCAATGCCCTGCCCCTGCCCCTGCCACTGCCACGACCCCAGCGGCCGACCTTTGTCTATGGCTATACGCCGTCGCCGCCCAGATTGTACGGTTCCCGACCGCCGCCAGGAGCAGGACTAGGATTGCAACAATCGAAGCAGTTCGCCTATGCCCCACCCCCGCAGCGCAGCTATGCCACTGGCCACCGCATACCCCTGCCCTATCCGCCCAGCTTCATCAGCATCACGACGCGACGGCCGTCGGGCGGCTACGGGGGCCACCAGAAGCCCTTCCGCCCCTCTCAGCCGGACCCCACGCCGGATCTCTTCGCCGGACGCGCGTCCAAGTCGCTCCTGGACTCGTACATACCCAGCTGGGAGGTGTTGCGCCTCCTACAGCAGAGCCAGCCACAGCCACATCCGTACAGCAGTCATGGTCCAGTGCAGCGCCATACCCTGGCCTACCCCGTCTCCCGTCACTTGAGGTTGGTCAAGCGGGGCTCCGAGGGGGAGACCGTGAAGAAGTCGCTTCAAGCGAATGTTTAGCTTAAATATTGTGTATATTTTCTGTGTCTAATTATACAAATACGACTATTTATTAAAGCCTATCAATAAATGATGAATGATTAGCTGTAGATGGAGTAGATCGAGCCTCATTCAGGCTCCGTTCGCCTTCTTCCTGCATTCTCAGTTGCCCCAAAAGACTCCTCTGGAACGAGTGACTATCACATAACAGCCACTGGACCGGGTGCAGCATCCATCCGCCATCCGCCAACATTCAACATGCAGCCGCATCTTCATCTTCAGCTTCGACTTGTGTTTCGGTTTTCGGGCCATTTAAAGCTGGAGCCAGAGACAGAGCTAAAGCCGAGACCGAAGCCACTCCAATCGAATCAAATGTGCAATATGTGACTTTGTCAATGAGCCAGTGGGGCTCCTCTCCACTCTGCTTCTGGGCTGCTGCTGTTGCTGCTGCTGCTCACGTAATCGCGGCTATAAAGCCAACAGTCAGCAATAACAAACAATTACGGGGAGAGGAGCAACGAGTCGCGGCAAGATTATGATTTGTATGGCAGTGTGCCCCATGTGGCAGTCTGAAAGTCCGCTGATAGACAGACGGACAGGTGGAAATTTATGCAAGTAGGAAGCGAAGATGCTCCAAAGATGCTGCTGCTGCTGCTGCTGCTGCCAAGATGCGATTTTCCACTACTCGTACTCGTACTCGTACTCGTACTCATACTCGTATGAGTTTTGGCCACCTCATGGTTGTTAATGAAGCTGCCACTGGATGGGGCACTGCTGCATCCACATTAAAACTGTTGCATTGTCTGCATTGCGGCCTCCTCTTGTTTGTCACCCATTAAATATGCAGACAGCAAATGAGGCTGAGTGGGGCCCTGCCCTCTGGCTTAAAGTGAGACATGTGGATGGGCCACTTCCTGACTGCAGCTTCGGATGATTCCGTAGATGGGGTACCGCGATACCCCGTTGGAGGCACAAGCTTGACCTCACTTTGGGGGTCAAATCATGCTCCAGTTTGTGGCTCGTAAATCTGGCTGAAAAAATATGAATAGTTTCCATTGAAGAAGGGTCTTTTGTAGGCCCTCTGAAGCCTACCCACGGCCAACCTTCTCGATGGTGGATTTATGTGCGCTTCTACCTCACGCCCAATGGCTGACTCAATGGCTTTTCCGTAGGCCCGTATGCTCAAGTCGCATCTTCACAATGAATACTAGTAATGCCGCATAATAGTCGCTGACTAAGTGACATTGTTGCAGCTTAAGAAAGATCAGACAATGAGCTCTTCGCTAGTTGAAATTGAGCTAAGGTTGTGGCTGAACGTTGATGCTGTGCCATTGTGCAATGTTTGCAGAGCCATGGATCGGAGTCTATCGTTTCGATTCGCCATAGTCATTGACAGCGGCACAAAAGAGCATCGAACTTGTGCTGTGACCAATATTTCAATTGCTGTCGATACCAAAAGATTTTAGAGGAATCGAAACCAGCGAAATCCTTGAGAACTGACAGTCTTTTCTTTACCAACCATTTGAAAATATGTGGACAGATGATGAGAAAAATCACAGTGGCAATGAGCATCCGCTAACTAAAAGAGTAACACCATCGTACGACTTCTTATTCCTAAAGAGCCTTCTAAGCTCCCAAGCGATCATGGCTGTAGTTCCCGAATGGATACGTACCACAATCAGACTCCTCTCTCCATCCAAGGGTATCTATCGAAGCAACCGAAAACAACTTTCGACAATGCAACAATGATTGCGAATGAAGTTTTTGAGCATTCAGCTATCTGTTTGCTGTTTTATCGTTATCTCTGCTGCCTCTGCTGCCTCTGTGCTCTGTTTTGTGTGTTTTTGACAAAGCGGATTACAAAATCCCACCTAAAAACACAAACTCTTGTTATGCCATTTCTCTTTTCGCGCTGGCACCAGCCCCAGCCCCAGCCCAGTCAAAGTCCCAGTCCCAGTCCCAACCCAGACCCAAGCCCCAACCCAGACCCGAGCGAAGACAAGTTAATGCGCCAATTAAATTGCCACTACTCGCGGACCCCTTGGCGTATCTTTCTCCTCCGTATCTCTCGGCTAGCCAGCCCTCGATCTGCAATTGTTTCTATGCAAATTTTATGTTTCGATCGGTTCGTGCCTTTGTGCAGGGCATAGAAATCATTATAATACTCATACAAAAGCCAGACACGATGCCCCACAATAAACGCCATAAAACTTATTCACTCAAAATGAAAGGCCTCTGGAATGGACCTAGCTCTGGCCTGGACCGGACCGGACTGGACTGGAATCGAATGGAGTGGATGGGACCATCATCATCTCTGGCAGCGGCCAAAAGTTGCGCCAATTTTTTATGACTTTGAACTTGAACTGGAAATCGGACAGAAGACAGAAGAATGCCAGAGGCATGGAAGAGTCAAGTCTCTTGTCTCCAAAGAAAGGCCAACAAGCTGCAAGCGAAAGGTCTGTGTCTGTGGATTGGGGAGCCCTTTGTGAAAGGTGCGATCTCCCATGGCGAGGCAAGGTCAGTCGTCGGGTTCTCACGGAGTTGAATGATGCGTAAAGATAGTTTGAAGCTGTAGATTACACTACAATGGAAATATAATACTCTATGGAGGAATAACGCGGAAATATATTGAAATAGTGCCAAGTACGAGTAGTGTAATTCAATTACACTGGTAACCATAACAAAACAGACATCATTCGCTGCTAATTAAATGAAAAAGAGTCTGAAATACTAAAACATTATCGATATTGCTTAAAAATTACAAAACGAAGTTCTTACAGCTTGAAAAAATTTGAAATTTGTTGAAAATTAAGGAATTTTTTCGGGTTTCAAAGACTATGAATACAATTATACATACATACATATATGGGAATTTCTTACAATAGACAATAAATACATCCAGAAGATGAAATACATATTTTCTTGGGAAAATAAGGTGGATAATCATTACAACCAGAATGAGAAAAACAAGATTGTATGAAACTGTATGTAAACTTCTGTGGTGCACTTAGATACCCTGGCCTCAGTTTATATTTATGCACGTATATTTATGTACTTATATATCTATAAAATATTCAATGCAAGCTAGTCCATGGTAAGATGGCAGCAAGGAGAACGTACGATTTTCACTAGAAGAGAACTGGCGATGAATGCGTAGAGGGAGAGAAAGGTAGAAAGGGAGGTGATGCGCTCTCTTTGATTACATGCCAGACGTAAACCCCACCCTTAATTGCTAAGCCACCTTGGGAGAAAGGCAGAGCTCACGAGGCGGAAAGGGCTTTCTTCATTCGGGCTTCAGGTAAATAAGATAATTCTACAAATGTGAAAGTCCTACTAATGCAGTTGAAGCATAAGAAGGGATAAAGTATACATAGAATGTTTACATATAATGCCTTGAAGAGTACAAAGAGTACGAACAAAATCTGGCAGAGTATAGAGCGGTTGGGTGACAACCTCAGGTAAGATCCTCATTAGCGTGTAATACTATGCTTTTAAGCACCCCTCGTGTTATTAGATGATTCGAACTTTCCACGAACATTCGAAAAAAACAACCCATCTGCCACTTCCCCACAGAAACACACACACACACTTTACAGTTGAACAACAAATGCGAAGATCTTTCTATCTGCTCTTGTAGTAAGTATCTGCAGCAGTTTGCTTACAGCTGAGGCAATATCCCAGGCAACCTACACCTTCAGACACAGACACAGACACACAGACACCCCATTCACACACACACACACACACACAGAGATACTCATGTGGACGTGCGGTGTCATTGCTGGTGAACTCGTCCACAGAGATCGGAGATCGGATCGTTCCGCACGCTCTGCCCTCGACTCCAGCCACCAGCCATCAGCTACCAGCGCCAGCGCCAGCACCAGCACCAGCACCAGCACCAGCTCTGAATCCAAATCCGAGTCCAAATCCGAGACCGAATCCGAATCCGGCGAGTGACTCCGCTGACTGACTGGCCAAGTGGCTTGATGCAACCCAGACGAAGACGAAGACCAAAAGTTTTAGCTGTGGTTGTGGCTGTATTAGTGGTGATGTTGTTGATGGTATTGGTGGAGCTGGTGGTGCTGCTGCGGTTGGCAAAGTGTGCGATATAAAACCCGCGAGCATCGCCAGCGCCATCCACAGTACAAGGCGCGACTTTTGAACGCTGGCATCGCAGCTCCATCCGCACAGACTCCACTTTATCGATATCGGGCACGGCACCCACCAGCGACGAGTATCTGCCCCATTCGGTTGTGCCTCCTCCGCCCCTACTAAATATAGCTGTTTGTTTTTTTTGTGCCACGAAATTCGGGAGAAGAAAGTGCCGCCAAATTGGATACATACGATCTCTAGACAAAAGTACAAGTGCGTGAGAAGTCGCTTTGAATGTGCATTGTTCGCTCATTGGCGTAGGAGGAACTGCCCGAGACAGCCATGCGATTGGCATTGATACTGGTAAGATTCCGTGATGGGGTGGATTGCACAATCTCCCGGAAGAGATCTACAGCCGCTCCCAGTGCCCCAACCATTGCCCCAACCCCCTTCAACTCTACTGGCTCAGGCTGCCTCCCCCTCTTCAAGCCTGACAAATTAATTTGCATTCCAGTTGCAGTTTCCAGTTGCTCAGCCGGCTTGGCTTGGACAGCTGCAGCTCTGCGGGAAACCGGGAAAACCAAGCCACAGCCACAACCACGGCGCCCCGCCCCAGGCAGTTCACTGATCTGGTATCAGGATGCAATGAACTCCGGTCTCTGGCTCTCAGACGGAATAGAGTGGCAGTGGCGATTCCTTTTAGATATCGACCTCCTCGCTTGGCTGCACCTTCACTGTCGCTGTCGCTGTCGCTGCCACTGGCACTGGCACTGCCCTTGCCCTTGTCCATCAATCTCGGACCACAGCGAAGGGCCGGCCATCACATGGCATCAGAGATTGGCTGATAATTGGACGAGACCTCAGTCTGGTCTGATCACCCCAGAGAATCGCCACTCTGTGGGGATTGTGGCGCAACCAGAACTCGTTTCCCCCCGCCAGCTGCTGCCTCTTTCTCTCTCTCTCTCTCTCTCTCATGTGGTTACATAAAGTTATTACCATCTGAAGTGGGGGATTGTACCGCTGGGGGCTGGCTCTTGCTTTGGCTTTGGCTCTGGCAGGATAATCTGGGCTTGTCTAATGTACATTTTATTGTTTTGTGCCTGGCTTTAATGCTGCTGCTGTTGCCACAAGTAATGTTGCCACAAGTTATGTTGCAGATGATGTCGATGATGCAACAACGAAAGCCAAGCAGAAACAGTAACAAAAACTAAACACAAACCCACCAAACTGAGCAAAAATTCGAGTCCGACTAATTTGCACGCGTTGCGTGACGATCGTTTGCCTCTGCCTTTGCGTCGAGCTGGTGTGGTTTCTTTGATGTTGCAGCTGTTGATTTTTGATGATGTACAAGCGACTCATCCCCCGAGTGGGCGAGAAAGCACCAGAAACAGCAGAAGCACACATGTCATCTGTAGAGTAGAGTGTGGGGCAGATTTTAGGACTAACCGATTGCCATACCTGCAAGAGCATTATCCATGGCAATGCATAGTATCTTCTCAGCGGATCCATTCTGTTGTAAAGTGAAAGGCAACCCCAAAGAGCCGAATGCAATTAAATTAAATTATTACAGAAAATAGTTGGCAAAGATAAATCAATGCTGGAGAGACAGATCCGAGTAGTTGCTGCTGCCGGACCATAGATTATATAAACAACTGCACCAGCAGCAGCAACAGCAGCATGAGCAACTTTAGACCTCCTCCTCCATCGCCGATCCCCCGTACGGTAGGCAGGCAGCTCTTCTGTTCGGGCTCCCACAGCTCACATGCTAACATTTGACAAGAAATTTGCTGCCTTTGTGGCGGCGCTTGTTGTGTGGCAAGTCTGCCGAAAAACTCTTCCTGCTTAACAAGCTACGAAACAACAACGAAACGAGGCAACGACAGTCACCGCAACATAAGCAGAACCCAACGAAAACAAGAAGAGAGCTATTAAAATGACTTGACACACTGCCCCAGTTTTCGGGCTTTTGCACACACATCGCACACATCAGACACTCGAGTGAGCGCTCTATGTGGTACTCTACCAAGCGGTTATTGAGTGACAAAATGCAATTAAAACTAAGCTATCCGACAGCTCCTCGTTGCTGGTCAGGCATTGCTTGTGAAATTCCATACGTATGCAGATATATAGACTGGGAGTGGGTTTGCAGCAATTAAAAAGGGATTAAAATATCGATTACAAATGCAGTTCGATTTTTCAATGGGCTTATCAATTATAGGCTGGTGGGATTGTGGGTGTAAATGGAAAATGAAATTTCCCCATCAATTTGAAGACTTATTTCGATAGCATTCGATTCATATTTCGATATTTGCAACATATCAAAAGAATTCCATGACCAATTCGATTATTTTTGATATGATAGTCGTACAATATATCGCTTTGCATTCCACATAAGCAACATATCAGAAGATTCTACAAGCATCATCATCAATAAATCAACTTTTTTAACCATAATCACCATTTATCGATAGCTATCGATCATAATCGATTCCTCATTAGTTGGCAGCTTATCCATAACTCATCGATAACCTAAGCCATTAACCTATCTGTCACCATCTGGCCGGCACAAAATACACACACACAAAATACTAAAGACACGACGAACCTGCTGAGATGCGATCGATTCAGATTCGATTACAACACTACATGACTAGCCGCGTCTTTGCCGCAGCTCCCTCCCTACCGCTCCTAAAAAGCACCGCAAGCATTCACTTGACGAAATGTCAAAAGTGAAACCTTTAATATGCCCCCAGATTTGAGTTTGATCGCGGCAGCGCATTGATAATTTAACGAACGACATCGGCATCGACATCGATATGGAGATCGAGATGTTGAGATTGAGATCATTGTCGATCGCCTCCGTCTCCGTCTCTGTCCCTGTCTCTCACCTTGGGAAGAAACAAAGCGATGGCTAGACAAAAGCCACTCGTACCCGTGTCCAAACTAATGCTGATGCTCCAATGCTCTTCTTTTCTGATCTTACAGTGCACTCTGAGTGCGGCCGTGTGCCTGGCCAGTGGCTTGGGTCAGCCGGAGGCGCCCACCAAGGCATCCAGCTACCCCAAGAAGGTGACGACGCTGAAGAAGCGACCGACCAAGACGCCGACCGCGGCGACCACTTCCACATCGGGCAGCACCACATCCGGCAGGGGGGGAACAAGCAGCAGTGGGACGACCACCAAGCCGAGCAAGCCACGCGTGAAGATCGGGAAGACCACCAGACCGAGCACCGTCACTAGAGGCAGCACCAAGGCACCCGCCTTGGCCGCGAGCTTTAGCAACCTGCCCGCTGATGATCTGGAGTTCATCAAGGAGCTGGACAAGCAGTTCAAGCTGCATGGGGACAAGATCAAGATCAAGGTGGAGCGGGACAATTCCACGGGTAGTGGCGGCAAGAACAGCAAGCGGACGATCGAAGGAGATCTGGGGTGAGTCATCTAATCAACCAACCAATGCAACTCTAACCAAACTCTAATCATGGCAATCTATTGTAGATATGGCTATGCCCATCAGGGGTACGACTACACGCCGCCCAAGTTCATGTTCTATCCGTACTCCCAGCACGACATTCCGGCCACAGAGGCGCCACTAGATACCTATGGGAGCTATGCTCCCTCCGGCTTTGCCCATCCCCAGCCGCAGGAGCCAGAAGAACCGCAGGAGCACCAACAGCCACCGCAGCAGCAACAGCAGCAGCACGTGACAAGCGTGACCATCGAGCCCTCGTATTCCTACGAGCTGAAGCCACAGACTACCTACGAGACACAGCCCCCACATCCGACACAGCCCCAGGAGCACCAACCGCATCAGGCGCATCCAAGCCATGGCCTGGAGCAGCCGCAGATCGATCTGCCTCAGGAGGAGGAGCATGCGGATCAGGGCGGCTACCAGGAGCCCGTCATCGTCCTGCGCATCCCAGGCCCCGCAAAGTACGCAGCCCATCTCCAGACCCTGTTGCAGCAGTACCTGGAGATCCGAGCAGCCCAGTACTTGAGCCTGCTCCAAGAGGCCGAGCAGCACCAGCAGCAGCAGCAGCAACACCATCAACACCAGCAGCAGCAGCAATCTTTGGATCTCTCGCAGCAATATGGTGCCCCCGATCAGGGGCCCTACCATCCCGATGTGAGCTATTCCCACCAACTGGCGCCAACGCCCCAGCCAGTACAGTATGCGGCCATCGACGATGTCTACCAGAGCTACAAGGGGCGCCACCAGCAGCAGCAACAGCATCAGCAGCAGGTGCAGCAGTACGAACAGCCACCGCCCGAGGCCTACTATGCGCCAACAGGCTACCAGCAGCAGACACAGTTCTACTACGCCCAGCCGCAGTCCCATGGCCATGGTCAGGGCCAGGCACAGCCGCAGCTCTACCTGATAGCCATGGCCCCACAGCCGGAATATGTCGATGCAGCCCCGCAGGCGGACTACGGCGAACCGCTGCCACATCCGCCGCAACAGCAACATCAGGCACAACAGCAACCGATCTATGTGCCCGAGTCAGAGCCACCCACTGCCCCCGAGGCGGAGCACGAGCAGGAGCAGGAGCACGGTCTCCCCATCACGGAGAACAATCCGCGGCCCACCCACACCAAGGTCATATTCAATTCGCACCCCAGCCACACGTACCCTACCCTGCGCCAGTACTCCCAACAGCAGCAGCAGCAGCAGCAGCACCACCACCAGGAACAGCAGGAGGAACAGCAGGAGGGCGCCTCCGAGGAAAGTGCTCCGTCTCAGCGGCCGTACAACTACCATGCCCACGGCCTCAAGATGCGCCAGGGCAAGCGTTCGGCGAAGGCGCACCCCGAGGCCGCGGCGGCAGCAGCCGGCGACCAGCGGCTCCAACAGATCCGGGAGTACGTGCGGGAGAAGCTCGGTGCAGAGATGGGCTCGGCGGTGGAGTACAAGACGACGCAGCTGCTGGAGGGCTAAGGGCTCATCCATTCTTAGTAGTATCTCGTAATCGTAGTCGTAATGCTGTTGAAGTTGCTTCTCGTGCCTGAAATCCGTTCATTAGTATTTATTCTGCCCAACCTCCTGTGGGATTGGAGTTTCTCCAGATATCGGATTACTACCAATCCACATTGGTGATTGGCCATCCATCAATCCATTGCATACTTATCGGCGGCAGCTAAGGGAGCAGCCCAGAAGTATGCAGTGGTTTTTCTAAGATCGAATTACTACCGGTTGCATATTCCGCCCAGACGTATGCTGTGGTTTCTCGACGACCCGAGGGATCCCGGAGGGGAGGGGCTCACCTCATCTCCGCCTGCGCTTTCATTCTCATTTATTATGTGTTATTTGTTTGGTTTTTTTTTTTGTTAACCACAAAAATGTGCTGAAAACGTGTGCAATAATTAGTTTGTAACGAAACGTAGTTCTTGAATTTACATATCTGTACTTATATTTTTACATAATTAAACGAAACAAAAATCAATTTGCGAGCAACACCAAACAGGGCGCTGGGGGCTGCTTCCACCGATGGGAGGGGGAGTGCTGCAAGTAGTCACGGAAGTCACGCACGAAACCCATAAAAATAGCCAGCTAGCATCGATTGCAGCTGGCGAAATGAAACTCCAAATAACTCGAGTGCTAAATGCCAATCATTACGAGTATTTGGTTGCACTCGTAATCGAAAACACGCAAAACACCTAAATCACGATCAAAATATACAATAGGAAATGTACTGCTGAACCATTCGGAATGGGTGGGGAAGACGGTTTTAAAATAGATCTTGAGGATCAACACAGATCCATCATGCACTTTAAGAGTGGGTTTAATGGGAAGGTAGTTGTTGTATATCAAACTGATTGAAGTAAGGGAAGCCTGTGATCAAAGATCTGAACTTGGAAAGGTCCTTTTTCTGATCTACTGATGATCTTATCTTCCAGTCTCTGGTCTTACATGGTCACGTTGATCTATTACGATTAAGAAACTGGTTCAGAACTAAAAAAAAACTATCTATTTACTGATATTTCTGGCCGAGTTAGTTGTACTCTTACTTCCGGAAAATCTGTCAATCGTCAATGTTCAATAAGCCTCTGAGGCTAAACTTTCATTCCTTCTTCATAAGAGAAACATTCTGATCGCTATCCTACATCTTCCCTTGATCACTCTTCAAAGTGTCTGTTCCGCTCCTCTAACTCCTCTCCCTAACTCCTCTCTTTATCCTCCAGTGATCTAGTGATCTAATATATTGCAATTGCAGTTCCAGAAATAACTACAACTCCCAATGACTTTCACATAGTTTCCGACAAATTGGTGGCGTTTTTTCCTTGCCACATCGGGTTGCAAAATTGCGGCCAAACGCTGTTTACGTAAAGATCCCCATCGACAGCAGCAGCAGGTATGGCCGCGAACAATTAGCATAATCAGCTGCCGCTATGGATGGTAAATTGTGCCAATTTCTATAATTTTGAAATGCGGCAGCGTCTCTTTCCACTTTCCACTCAAATTAAAAAAGAGGCTGAAGAGTGGAGAAGGGTATGGGTAGTGGAGAGCCACAAAATACTATGCCACTTCCGTAATCTTTGGTCGAGAGATTCCCCTATCGCATTCCCCATTTGCATACTCTGGTCTTCCTGCCCATCGACTGATGGGCTGATGTCTGATCTGCGGCTTCCCGGACAGCTGGTTGTCCGCTTCTTGGAGCTCTGCCCAGGCCGGGCCCCGCCCTGGATGGTGGAAATCGAAAGTTTCTGGTTGTCATTGCTGTCACGGATTGCCGGGGGCCGGGAAGTCTGCCAAGACCCCACCTCTGGCACCACAGCCCCATCTTATTCAATCTGATTCAAGTGATGAAAAACTTTCAATTGGGATCGACTGCCGCTTCCCAGCTGGAGCGGTGCTTCCTTCTAATGAATCACTGACATTTCCGCTCGACTTCCAGAGATCCAGAAAAAACCGCAACCGAAATGAAAAACTCTCGTTATGATCTGAACGACCTCCCCCAACAATGGACCCATAAACCAACCAAGCAACTGCAAGAAATTAATAAGCTTAAGAGTTGCCAGAGATGGTGTCGGAGAGCCGGTGTCTCCTCTCAGCCACAAAACGTAATATTTCAAACATTTTCCAAAGCGTTGTAGCTACCGCCACAGTGGTACGAGTATTGGAGAAATCTTTATGAATTTGAAAATTTTCCAATAGTATATACATATGTATTTGTGTGTTCCAAGAGCTGTGCAGCATTCATTCTCTAAGAAGAAAAAACACCTTTCTTGATCTTAGATATGGAAGAAACTTTTTCTTTCAATATATACATATTTTCCACCTCATCATAATAGTCATCCAAGCCAGCCAAACCATCACTGACATGGCCTTTGGCCTTAAACTTGTCCCATCCAGACGCTTTCTTTAGCAGCTGCCCGACCCAACCAGACATGAATCGAATGAATGAAAGAGCAGTCTCCGTTTTTAGACTTAACCTGTGGATCTCTGGCCCCACTGTTCAGGTGGCCTACGTCATCGTTTGCTGGCCGTTTATCGATTGCGCTAGCTGTTGTCTGTTGGACGTCTGTCTTGCACTTTTTCTGCCGCTGCCGCTGCCGCTGTCGCTGTCGCTGCCTCTGTTGCTGGCGTTGCCATTGGATTTGTGGTGGCTGCAGCTTTTGGCCACATAACGGGGCATGGATCGCAATCGCATTCGCATTCGGTTGTTGGCCAGGTTGTTGATCTTCACAAACACAAACACAAACACAAACAAACACACACACATGTGGACGGGGGGGAGGGAGACCGCCGCCAGCTTTTCGCTTTGTTTCGCTTTTGATTATTACGGCCATTATCGCTGGCGTTAAGTGTGGCAAGTGTTTCGGTGTTCGTTTCGCTTTTTGTTTGCATGCTTCTCCCACCAGAATATTAAAATATAAATCATACGCCCTGTGGGGCACGTAAAATGAATTTCATGGCAATTCGTGAGCCAAAAAGCCCAGAGCCAAGCTCTCAAAAACCAATCAATCGGCAGCACCACCCTCTATTCCCAGCGATCGCTTTCGATCCTTCTGGCTTATGTCTAAGGTCTCGTAATCTTGAAATTGGAATCAACATTGTTGCCTGGTATTTTCTATGGCTGCAACTGCAACATTTGATGGAAAATCATCATAAATCTTGCAGCCACTCTCTGCCTCACTCCTTGTTAATTATTATGCACTGAATCAGTGACCATGAAGACAAACACTTGGCCAGCCACCCATCCACCCATCTATCCCATGCGCCTGCCATGCGGCTGCTGCGCATGCGGTTTCATGCGGTTGAGGCACCTCTTTTGGAATACAGTCTCTCGGAAACAGCTTGAGGGGAAAACCCAGGAATATTTCACTTGTACGAGACCAAACTAATTGAGGACCAAGCATCCTGATGAAGGGCTACATCAAGTGGAGCCATGACATTGCTTGACAGATAACCGATATCCAAAGATATCATCCTCTGGAGTGGAGTGGGTAAGCCGCTCCCTGATCGATTAGCTGTCGCTTAGACCAATAAATGCCTTTGCTGGCGAGGATTTTACAAGTCAATTACAGGTATTAAAACCGTTTCGAGCCCCAAACATTTCATTGAACTGTTTGTCTGTCTATTTGGCTTATGGCTTAATTGGCCATCAAAGTCGCAACTGAAGCCGAGAAACCAGTTCTACCGTTTTCCCGTTGTGTGGAAGAGCAAAGAGTAGTCCATGATCTCAGAGTCGAGGTTCGGGAATCGGGGATCGGGGATCGGGAGGGTCATTATGGGTGTACATATCACGCATACGCCAGTGCGTTTTCGTCGATTGCCTCGTTACAATTTTTACAATTTGAATTGTCATCGAAAGTTAATCTCTGTGCACTTTTCTCTCTCTTTGTCTCTCTCGCTCTCTCTCTCCTTTTCTCTCTCCGTATGTTTGTGCTTTTTTCTTTGGCCTGCACATTCGCATAAATTTTCCGCTGCAACGGTCTGCATCATTATAAAAGCCGCACTGCGCCAGCGTGCCGCAAACACTTGCACCACAGACCCAACCGCGTTCGCACCAAACGTCTGCGATTAGAGCGCGTCAGCATCGTCATCCACGGACTAGTCCTCAGCTCATCCTCATCCAGAAGTGCTCCACAATCAGAATGGACAGTGCTCCATTCAATCGCAGCCGCGGCCTGCTGTGCCTCTATCTGCTGTTACTCGTAAGTAATCCTCAAGGCAGACCCATCCCCGAAATCCGGCGCAAGGAGTGCTTTTTGTTCTTGTGAAACGTGATTCCTAGAACGGATAAATGAAAATGTGAAATGTATTTTGGCCGTTATATAGTGCCCTGCCGGGAACATGCAACATTTCGTTCGGTTTGTCTCCAAGAAATCCTGCAGAAAGTCCTGTTAAATAAAGTGTTTCGAGTGGTTCTATCATCATAAACAGATACTGTTCCTTCAAAGTGGATAACTGTACTATATTTTCAAGACCCAATAAGATCTCTAAAGTAACCATTGGACACACAAAGGAGACCGGAAAACATTGGTTGAAGGATATTTACTCCCAAATGGTTAGCAGATTCTCCATTCAACCCACAAATCGATTCAGAGCTTGATTTGAAACCATTTGCATAGAGGATTTTGATCTGGTTCTATGGGTCCGACAGACATTAAATGAAATTAACTCAGACATTGGATCGATGATCTTATTTTTGTGTATGGTTTTATGTTTTCTATTTATCAGTGTACCCATATTTGGATATTGATATTAATTCACACAGCGATCCACAACGATCCACAGCACATACTATAAACAATTGCGTGCCGCAATCACTTCATGCCACAAAATGTTTCACTCACCCCTCTGCCCGCCCCTCTGCCACAACATCTCCATTTTCCATCCACCATCCTCCATTGAATCGACCAACGATCTTTGGGCCATTGAACCTAAGAGAGCGAGAGCAATCATTTAGAAATTGCAATCACCCTGTTGTTACACCACCCCCCCTCTTTGTCTCTTTGCCTCCTTTCCGTCTTTCCCTCCCTACCCCTCCATGATCGACAAAAGCGAAAGTAAATACGCTAAAAATATAGTAGACTTAATTAGTTTAATTGGAAAATGAGTGTATACACAACAAATTGGAGCACTTTTCCGATGCATTTCGATGACAATTTGCCGTGAAATTGATCAGCCCCTTTTGCACCTCTCCCTTGCAGATGTCAACACTGTGTAGCGCTGTGTCCGTCACCACAGGAACTTCGGGGCACAGCCACAGCCGCCGCCGCTCCGGAGGAGGAGGTGGAGGGGGTCTGACCCTGGTGGAGGACTCTGTGCCGGATCAGCTGGCCCTCGCAGGACGCACCCACACCAGGCGAGGGTCCAGCCATTCAGTGCTCCACAGCAGATCCAAAGAGACGCCCAACAAAGGTGAGTGCCAGAGAGAGGCGCGAAAAACAGATTTCAATTAAAGGCCGCTGCAGCACTGAAACCAAAAACACCTGAAACCCTCTCCCCCTTTCCCAGATTATGCCTACGGACAGGTGGAACTGAATCTGGTGCGACCCGAACCTGAGACTCTGTATCCCAGCAGTCTGAGCACGACCACAGCGGCAGTTGCAAGTGGAATTCGGGTGGGTTCTGGGCCATCAGCAGCAGCATCCGCAGCAGCAGCAGCAGCAGCAGCTTCGATGAACCATCAGGATACGATCACGCTGGAGGATTCGCAGAGTGCCGCCGAGTATGTGGCCAATGCTATTAAGCTGGCCTACAAACAGCCACAGATACAGATCCAGCAGCCACAGCCACAGATCCTAACGCAATCGCAGGCGGCCCCAAAGGAGCCCAAGGCTTCATCAGAGCAGCCGCAGAGGGATGTGGAACGGGAACGAGAACTCCTGGAGCTGCACTTGCAGAAGGAGCTTCAGGCGCAGCAGGCTCCCGCTCCAGTGTACGAGAAGGAGCCCGTGACCCGCAGCTACGAGCTCTACGAACAGGGAGATCCGTCGATCCAGTCCCAGCCCCAAACGGGGGAGATCGAGCGGCAGTATCGCACAAAATACTACAACTATGTTCCGTATCCGCCGCCGCAGCTGTACCGCAACCTCGAAGCGGAAGCCGAGGAGAAGGTGCGGGTGTCCGCCTCCACGGAGATACCCAAGTCGGAGATCATGAAGCAAATCGAGAAGTCGGTGATCAAGTACATGAAAGAGCTGGAGGCAGAGGGCAAGATTCTGAGCACGCCCCAGGAGCAGCCGCAGTCGATGCCACCGCCGCTCATCAAAACTTACTACAAGCCGGCATCCGCCTCCATTTCTGTGTCCTCGGCGGCTCCATCCTCCTCCTCAGCAACCTCTGCGTCCTCGTCGATCTCCTCGATTTCCGATGAGAAGCGCTACAGCAGCAGCACGGTGAGACCGAAGTACACTCCGCCGCCGGGACAGGGTCGCCAGCAATCGTCGTCTTACCACCAACATCATCCCTCTGGCGGTCAGGTGGCGGCGCACCACCATCATCAGCAACAGCACCAGACCAAGGCTCATCCCCATCTCCACTCGAGCTCCCACTCCCAGTCGCACTCCCAGCCCCAGTCCCAGTCTCAGTCCCACTCCCCGTCGCACTCGCAGCCACAGTCGCACTCCCACGCCCAGTCAAAGCCCCAAGTGCAGCACTTCCAGTCCGAGACGGAGACCGCCTACCAAGCGCCCGATCTACCCGTAGACGAGCTCAGTCCCAATGTCGAGTTCATCTACAAGATCAAGACGCGGGCACCGCTTCAGACGGCCACCGTGAAAACGGTCTCCAAGCCGTACACGCTGCCCCTGAAGAGCACGGAGCACTTTGACCATGGCGCTGCCCTCAAGAATATCGAAGAGTTCGATCTGTCCCATGTGGTCAGTGGGTCCGAGCGGGAAAGGGAGCGGGAACGTGAGCGGGAGCGTGAGACGGGGGAAGACCAACAGCTGCAACACCACCATCAGCATACCCGGGGATCCGGCGGGAAGCCCCACAAGCTGTATTTCAACTCTGAGATCTACCACGACATTAACTCGCTGCCGTTTAAAGGCGAAAAAGTGCGACACGACCCAGAAGCGGAGCGGGCGATCCACGAGTACCGTCAAAAGCTAAAGTCGGCCGCCGGAGACCTCCATCCGGACTACAAGGGCTACACGGGCTACTTTGCTGAGCCGGATCCGGAGTCAGAGCGCGAGGAACGGGAGCAGGCCAAGCTCCAGCTGCAGCTTCAGTCCCAGGAGGACGGTTACCCCATAGTCAATCCCTATCCCTATCTGCTTAAGAAGGAGCCGCTGGGGTCCAAGTACGAGGAGGAGCATGAACCCTGGCCAGAGCAGCCGCTCCGACTGGTCCACACACACGGCCACCCACTCGGCCACAGCCACGCCCACGCCCATGCCCATGCACATGGCAAGGGCCAGCACAAAGGGCAGGGCCAGGGTCAGGGTCAGGTTGGTGGGATCAACACCAGCCTTGAGTACGACAGCTACAGCCCTAAGTTCAACAATAATCCCGAGGGCTACGGCTACCAGCACACGTACAAGGGCTCCTCTGGAGGGACGCTGCCCGCCGGTGGCAAGCGTGGCAAGCGGGGCGGCAGCGGAGCCGGCTCCAGCGGCGGCGGTGGCAATGTCCACCCGATTCCGGGCAAGAAGCAGCTGCGGACGAGCGCCGCCAGTGCGGGTGGCGATCTGGAGGCCAGCCTCGCCCTGAGGCCCCCACCCAAAAAGTAGTTCGCCCCCAGTCCCCCCTCTCATAGCTGATTTTATGCAACATTTTGTTGATTGTTGAATGTATTTTTTTTGTTAGTTACTCTAAGTATTTTATGATTATTTATTTTACGGCCAGCTGCCCAGACCCGGGACCCAAAACCGGTGCTTGTCAGCATACTAGAAAAGCGCAAACAAATTACCCAGTAATAAACAAATACTAAATGCGAAATTGGAAAGTGTTTTCCCTGCACAGTAAGGAAGGTTAGCCGGAAAAATCAGCAGATTTTCGAATTTAAGGGGCTCCAATGTACGCTTCAACTTCGGATTGTCAGCTCTGTTCAACGATGAATGCAAAACCAAAGTTTCTCTAGCAGATCATTTATGACGCGTTCAAACGGGACTGGATTATTAGGACAATATAGCCATTGTATCGACACAAATACAAAATCTTATAAAAGGCTATACAATTCTCTTTGCAACCCATCAAATGTTTGAGATATCAGAGCTGCAAGTGCCGATTGAATATTATGAAAGTGCTCAGTACTCAATTTTGTGAGTACGTATATTTGCCTAATCGAAGAATGAGGATGTGAACTATCCATGCACTGTCGCACAGTAATAACTATTGGATTGAGATCGAATGATCGATCCGTCCGTCGCGGTCACAAAAAACAACAATTTTTGGACGAAATGCAAATAAACCTCCACTCTTCCAATGGTATGGTTTGATTCTCGTTCTCAGATCTTATGTTCGTGCAGAACGTCCACTGCATCGTTCCGTTCGATGCTTTGGTGGCTGGGAACCCAATTGATCCGCACTGACTTTGTCGTGCTTAGGGTGTCTATTGCTTCCCTGCTCGCCAAGACACTTCTGGAACTTACCGTGGACGATCTGTCAACGAATAAGTTAGTCTCATCGTGTGCTCGATTCGTTAGATGAGCAACCTCCTGAACTTTCCTGGTGGCAAAAACTTCCACTGGATTCGTAGTCGATCTTTTACCAGATCGCAGCGGCGCAGCGGCAGAGACACCGACAGAGATTTCATACTTTGAATCAGCTGTGCGTGTTCGTGTGCCAACCAACCATCATTGCCTTTCAGATTAGATTGGTCTGGAAGCATAAGGGAATACGACCATTACTCATCATCAATTACGAGAACAATCGCTAAAACTAACGCAAAAATAATGCGAGTAATATAGATGCAACAACTTTACTTATATAGACATTTCCATCAAAAGCCTCATAAGTAATTATAAATAAATAAAATAAACTCAATGCTTTTCCGCTTCCAGTAAAAATTGATTTATCATAATTTCGGCTCGTGATTTCCTCTTATAAGTCTTTCCCTCCAGAGACTTTTTCAGTTTTAACAAATAATTTTTTTTGTCTTTGATTTTGTTATAGGAGGTTTTCGTAAGAGATTGATTTCCAGTCTTTTTACCCTTTTGTACTTAGATAATTTTAGAGACTTTGAATTCATATTTTTACTCCCAACACGATGTATGGACGGTCGATCAATTCCATCGATATTATCGATAGTGCCATCGATGGCCTTGCGCGGAAATATCCATAAAAATACCGCCTTGCCCACTTTCTGCCAGTGCTGCCCATGCGCCCAGTGGCCCAGTGGGCCCATCAATCGGCATTGAATCTGATTTCCCTTTTGCTTCATGATTCGCGTTTTGTTTTGCTCGGTGTTTCGCGCTCATATCATATCTGTGCGTATGTGTTTGTGTGTGGAATAGTAAAATATTTTTGCGTACAATTATGAGATGACCGCCTACGACCACCGCAGATTCCAGCTTCAGCCTCGTCGAAAAGTAAAAGTCCAGGCCCCTCAACCATTCCCGAATTTGTACTCAATTTCATATCTACGCCACATTTCCGTATCAGAATGCACTTCTAGATAAAGATGGAATAACTAATTGGCACATCTGTAAGTAAGCTGTTGCTAGCTTTAGATATTACGTGAGAAACTGGCAGCTATCGGCACAAACAGCATTCATCATCCCACAATTGTACTCTTTTTTTTGGTGTACTCGAATTTTGGCCAACGCTCACGCGCTGATTTGACAAGAGATCGTTTGAATTGATGTCGGACCTAGACCTACTCGTAGTAATGCTATAAAACGTATTTGGCGTGACTCGGCTTTGCCATTGCTCGCTCGCCACTCGACCAGCCGCCCCAAAGATGAAGCTCCGCGTGGTAAGTGCAACGCTTTGATCCTGCATCGTTTTGGCTCCTCCTACAGCTTCTCTTGTGGTCTTGTTGCAGTTCCTCCTTCTCAGCGCCGCACTTGCAGCGACCACTGTCCAGGCCGTCGTCCAGCCGGGCAGGAATCAGCAGCTGTTCAACCACAACCGGAACGGATACCGCTACAACGGACCCGCCCACAAGTACCTGCCCGCCCAGGGGCCGCCCAGCACTGAAGCGGGCATCATCACTGGGCCCTGGCAATCTCATGGATCTCACGGCAATCAAATTCCACAATCCCTGGAGCACTCTCATGGGGCCAATCATCAACAGCAGCATGGCTACAACGGTCCCTACAACAACCAGTACTACGGGGGACACGAGCAGCATCGACAAGAAGAGCACTCCTGGAAGCAGAAGCAACAGTTTGGACAACAGCAAAATCACCAACAGATAGGTGAGCCCTGGCAGTCATCTCAGGGACTTGGACAGGATCAAGGCTTCCAGCAGCACCAGGAGCAGCAGTACCACCAGCAGCAGTCCCAATCACATCATCACCAAGGCCACCAAGAAGTGGAATACGCTCCCGAGCAGCATGGCAGGCCGGGACAACATCATCAACAAGGCCTTCTCCAGCAGGAGCCACATGATCAGAGAGCTGAATCCTGGCAACCATCTCATGAGCAAGGCTTTCAGCATGAGCAACATCGTGAAGGGCAACATCAGCAGCAGCCACACCATCAGCAAGAGCACCACGATCAACAGGAGCAACAGCAGGGCGTCCATTGGCAGCCATCCGATTTGGCCCAAAATTCTGATAGATTTCCTTCGGCTCTCGCACATGCCACCAGCCATAAAACTGTTGCTGCTCCTGCCCGCGATATCAAGCTTGTTCCAGCTTATACTCTTTCTAGTTATTCGGACCAAGATCGCTTCATTGGATTGGATGCTCTCGACACTCGCCTACTGAGCCAATCCCTGCCAGAGGCCTACCAGCGGGTTCCTTTCAACACTGTCCAGCCCTCCAGCCACCAGCCACTTGGCCAGGTCCAAGGTCAGCGGCATGAGGAGCTGTTGGGGGGCTCTCCCCGGCAACAGGAGAGTCAGGGCTATGTTCAGATGCAATCGCACTCCTACGAGCTGCCTTCGTCCCATACCATGCAGCGGGAGTGGCCCCAGCAGCTGCAGCAGCAACAGCAGTCTCATAGCTCAGGAAATCGTCAGTACTCGGAAAGTGCCTTTGCTTTCTCCTCCAACCAATCCCCAGGTTCCAGCAGCCACTCGTCTAACCCAGCCGTTCACCCCTCGAACCCATCCATTCACTCTTCGAATCCGTCCTACTCCTTCCAGAACTCCTTGAGCCATCCCAGCCGCGAGTTCCAGCCGCCCTACTATAGATAGTCCTCATCCTTCATCCCCTGACGACTCACTGGGATCCATCGCATGCCATAAGATCCCTAGTCTGAGCATCTTGTTCCATAACTTCCCTGGACTTCTACTTCTGCCTTTCTTAGACCTGAAATGCATTTAGTTTGAACAGGAATTTACCTTTTAACTACCTTTTTTTTTGTACTATTTAATTCAATAAATTATGTCATGAGCAGAATGATGGCGTCACCAAATGGGGGGCTCTGGACCTTGGAGTCTGTTGGCCAAAATGCGAGCATGGCTAATTTGATTACGCGGATTCCCACCGTCAATCCGGATTCTGGCAAACTAATTGCCAGAATTTTGTAATTTGCCCACATTAATGCCAGTGCCTGCTGTTTGCGGCAGCTGCTGTGGCGAATTATGTGGCGATTAGAGATCCAAATTAGAGATGATTCGGTTCTCGGGGGCTTCCGCTGTGGTACGTGTGGTAAAAGAGTGTGCAAAGAGGCGGAAAAGTGAAGGTAAAGCAAACAAAACACCAAGACACCAGACAGACCGGCAGACGCCCACACTGTCCCATAGTTTCGTTGCACCGTTGCAGCAGAAATCATAACAAAAACAGCAGCATTTTTGTGGCACGGCGTCAACTTTCTTTGCAGCTGCAGTAGGAAGCCGCCAAACGCCGGCCGCCAGTAAAGAAAAAATAATGCATTCACAACTCGAAGAGACGCTGCTATACCTTTCCAGAGACTTGTCACGCAAAGGGCATGATATATGTACATATACGTACTTAGATTAAAAGGCTATTTCATGTGTTTTCCATGTATAACACAAGCTTCTTTTGGCTGCAAGATCATCATAGAAACGATCTTCAAGGAACATGAATACAAATGTGGTTCCGAAGGATAACTTTTAAGGGAAGCAATAAAAGGCTAAATCAATCAGAGGCTTCAGATTCACATATGTAGCTGCCATGTGTTGTACCCTTTATACTCTTAATGGTCTTAATGGTTTATCTGTTCAAACATCGGATGACAGTGACGATATCTTATAGCAACAACCAAAAACAGTGTATCTACAGCTTCGGCGTCCTTCGTTACCATCTTTTTTACTGCTACTGCTGCTACCTGGTGCTGTTAATCTTTTTGGCACATTATTCGTTATGTTCATGCTTCGATTTCGATCAAGTCGAGTCATCAAAAATTGAAATGTTGCTGTCCGTGGTGCGAAAGCGGTCGCTGAGGGGCGACAGCGGCACTGGACAGTGGACAGTGGACAGTGGACTGTCAGTGCCAGTGGAGTGCAATACCGGATGACTTTCTTTTAGGTTGCAACTGCAACTGTTGTACGATAAAGGGAAGCACTTCTGCCTGTATTTGTGATACCATTTTCTATGGCATAGATCCCATCTGCCACACCGGCAGCAACAGAGTCACAACAGTGCCACAGTTGTAGGCCCTCATGTGGAAAATTTGGCATTCGAAGGGCAGGGCAAGGCGGTGGATCTCAGTTACATGGATTGTTGATCAAGCCACTCTGAAGGCAACAAATTTGGATGTTGCAACATCATTTGCGCAAACTCAAAGAGCCGAAAAATCATTTAACAAGAATTATGTTTCTGCACGATGAGAGAGAGAGAGAGAGAGAGCGTCATTAACTGGAAATCGATGGGGGGATCGATGCGGGGGAACCTCTGGAAACAGATGAAAAGGGAAAGGGAATGGGAATGGGAATTGGATTCCAAGTTGCGCAACACTGAGGAAGAAGCGGTGCCAGAAAGATATCACTTTTCAGCGGATCCATGGCTATCGGATAACGGTCATTCCGCCCATATATATCCCCTGGGTGTCAGGGCCAGGGCCACCATTCGCCCGGGAGATCGATGGCCAGCATGTCATTGTCATCCCTCATCCTGGCTCTGCTCGGATGCCTACCTCTCTTGCAGGGGCAGCAGCAGCTGCATGCCGTCTACCCTGCCTGGCTGTACTCCATGCCTTGGCGTCCGCTGGTGCCGTCCACTCCACAGCAATCCCCACTCTCGCAGTTGAGTCCCGGCTACACGGGTCCTCAGACCTTTCCTTCTGTGCAGCGGGAGAGGGAGCGGGAGCAGAGGCAGGAGCAGCTACTGGAGCCTGAACAGGAGCTGAAGCAGGGTCTGTTCACGCCACAAATACAGTTCCTGGGCCACACAGGACCGCCTGTTCAGGGAAGGTTCAGCCTGCCCTTCAGGCCCTCTCCCTTTTCGGGCTACACGGATGACGATGACGAGGATCCGGGAGGAGGATCTCTGGAGGAGCCAGCCAGAGAAATAGAAAGAGTTGGACCATTCGTCTACCTGTCCCCTGGCCGTCTGTACAACATATTTAGATCATAGAGTTCCCCATCATTAATCACGAATAAAGAAGTAGAAGCCACCCAAAAGCCACTGTTAGACAATCGATTCGAAAGGTCTTCCCACACAATCCAATCTCTGGCCATGTAATCTCTGGCGATGACTCGCCCACCGAAGGGGCGATGGGAAGATGGCAGGGGGAAGATGGAGAGGCGTCTGGTGGCCGACTTTTACCATGGGCGGATCTGGTCGGATCTATGGCAATTTGTTGCCGCTTTCAAATGCCTCAATTACGACGACGACGAGGGCCCAGACGCACAAGACGCACAAGTCGCAAATCGGCGAAATTATATCTCGATCGACATGGCGGCAGGTGTGACCTTGGTGGTGCGATTGCGCAACGCGCAACAGAAGTGGTAACCCAACTGGTGGTGGGGCGGATGGGGCAGAGACAGAGACAGTGGCAAGGGCAGCGGGTGCCAGGCAATTACATCAACTAAAAGCGCCGCGCAGTGGCACACGACCCGCCACGATGAAACGAAAGAAACGGCACACAAAAAGAGACAAAAGCGCCGCCTAAGAGGCAGAGAAGCTACCAGAAGAATCACACAAAAACCATAGGAGAGTCTGCGGGAGATCGAGGTGCTGAATACTCTTTGGAAATTATTTTATGGGTCTATTTAAGGCACATTTACTTTTCGTACGTTGATCCAAGCAAGTTTTTCCGTATAAAGATATTAAATATGGCTTTTCTGATCTCAGTTAAATAATATTTGAAAGAAGCGGGAACGCTGTTAGCCGCGGCAAGGGCCGCTGCTCACCTCCGCCAGTGGGCGCACACCGCACGATGAAGAGTGTGTGAGAAAGAGAGACGGTGAATGAATAAGCACGTTAAAGGAGGTTGTGTAGCCACAGAAATGTAATTTCTCATATCTTCAATAATTTTTATCTAAGGACCGTTTAATGATGCACCCAGATTCAGTGATGAGCGCCACTGAATTCGTAGAGGGACAAATATGCATCCGGTATAGTGTTTCCGTTCTCGGGAGGACTTCTACGAGTACTAAGCAAAGGGTATTTGTAACCTCGTACACGAGGTTCGACCTGGGCAGAGCGAATATGATCTTTCAGCATGGGGGATATATGTAAGGTATAGGGCAGCCAATCAATTTGGACCCTGGAGTGTGCCACACGGAAGAGTGGTTCCAGAAGCGGGATCGGAGTTTCAGATGGATAAGGAAGTGCCTCATAAGAGCTTAAGAGATATGTATGTACATTCTCTGATCAGTTTGTTTTGTTTATCATTGATATAATTAATTTATCATATTCATTCAAAATGTTTTGGTATTCAAAGATACATATGTATGTATGTATGTACATATGTCTGTACAATAAAGATTTTAATTTGAAATTAATAAGATCTATAACTTCCTTCCGATAGAGGCGTAATCGCAAAGATCCCCTTCCGTTCCGCATACTGTACATCGTATTGCAAAATCGAAAACAAATCTCTTTTAAAATTTGCTTCGCTGAAAACACCAACAATTACAACGGGAGACAAGAGTGGAGAGATAAGAGAGAAGAGTGGATTATGGAGTGTGGATTGAGAAGAGGGAGTGTGGAGAGAGGAGAGTGGCGTTTTGCGGCACAGGTAGTACGAGTAACTGTAAATTAAATGCAATTTGCGCATAAGCCGAGCTGCCTTTCTGGCAAGGGTGTGACAGCTGTGGGAGAGGAGGGACCAGAGCGGCTCACTGGGAACTTGGGAAAACACACACCTTGCCCGTGCAGGGAGGGGTGCAGTGGGGTATAGGGGAGCGAGCCAAAGGGCAGCCCGTGACATGTGATATGAAAAAGTGTCACTTGAACTTGAGTGGCGCTGTCGGGTCTCCGCCAATCCGCACAGTGGTACAAATCACTGAAAATAGTGGAACACATATTTCAAGAGGATAAGCGAAAATGAGTAGTGTAGTACACCCATAGAACAGTAGCAGCACCCCCACTACATCTTCCTACTACAGTAAGCACTCATTATGAATACTATAAGACATTCAAATCAATATCTATCCCACAGTGCGTGCGTCGAGAGTGAGAGTAGATGTGCCCCTCCGGTCCGCCCTCTGCCAGCGGCTGACACAAAGCAGAGCGCAGAAGAAACCAAAGCCGAATTCGAAACCGAAAACATATGTACGTCTGCGTCTGCGTATGCAAAGCAGTCGCAGCCGACAGAGAGTGCGAATGAGAGGAGAGAAGAAACTGTTTTCGCATCGCTGCGCGTCGGCGCAGTTGGCGTCGCAGTTGGCGCTGAGCCGCTGTCCAAGTTGGAGTCGTGGCTGTGGCTGGGGCTTTGGCAGCGGCCGAGGCAGAGCGCGTATAAAAGGGTTGGCCGTCGCAGAGGTCGTCAACATTGCGCTAGCTACTGCTGCGCGCGACACTTGTGGAATACGCGAGAAAGAGATAGAGAGCCAAGTCAAGCCAATCCAAGGATAACTGTTAATTTTTTTTGCAATTTATTTGCTGCTGTTTTTTGTATTGTGCCCGTGAGAATGCAGTTTGGAAGAATCCCGTTAGCTGTGGCTCTGTTCAGCTGCTGCTGCGCATTGCTCGTCAATGCCGACGTCCCCACCGATGCCATCGCTAAGCAGGCCTCTGCCCCATCCGCCACGCCTACCAAACTGAAGCGAGATGCCGGCTTAAGCTTCGGCAGTGGCCTCTACCACGGCCCCTCGCACAAGTACCTGCCTCCCGGTCCATCCCACTCCTCCTCCTACGACTCGGGCTTCGGGTACGCTTCGACTCTGCACGGAAATGGGCTTTCGTCCAACAGCGGCTACGACTTCGGGCATGCGGATACCACTCTGGAGAGCTACGGAGGACACCATTATGGAGGACACTCCTCCCATGGAAGGCCGCACTACATCAGCAGCAGCAGCGGCAGTGGACACCACCATCAGGGGCCCAAGGTAGAGACTTACATTGTGCAGACGAGCGGTGGATCTGCATCCGGACATGGCCATAGCTACCACGGACACGGCCCAAGTCACGGTCACGGCTACGGATACAGTCATGGATACGGACAGGGGCACGGGTCTGGATCAGGATCTGGCTCCGGCTCCGGACTGGGCTACAAGTACTCCTCCCACGGATCCACTGGTGGAGGCGTTGGAGGAGGCTACCTGAATCTTCTGGGAGGCCACAAGCCCAGCAGCACCTATCTGGTAGCCGGTCCAGAGTACTCTCACAGCAGTCATCACGGAGGATCAGGAGCAGGAGCCCGTCCAAGCTACGCAATCTCCTCCCAGCACTCTTCGGCTGGTCACGGCTTCAATCACGGATTCGGTCATGGACTGAGCCATGGACCCAGCCACGGGCATTCTCTGGAGCACGTATCCAACCACGGGCACGCCCTGGAGCACGCCTTGGAGCAGGGTCTGAGCCACGCCCTGAGCCTTAGCCATGGAGGGGCGCAGCTTGGTGGCTATCCCCATCACGCCCCATCAGCCCATCCCGCACTGGAGCATCATCTGGGCGGAGAGGAGACCTCCGGCTACAGCTACGATGCGCCCAGCATTGGCTTTGGCAAATCCCCGCCTCTGAGCAGCTACGGAGTTCCGCTGCTGCCCGGCTATGAGCATCAGCAACACCCACAGCACCCGCTGCCCGATCAAGTGCAGGTCCAGGTGCTAGAAGAGCAGGAGCACAAGGCAGAGCAGGCAGCGGAGGAGCACCAGACGCCCGTTTATGCGTTGGGCCACAAGGGTCTGGGCCACTTTAGCTACACAGCCAACAAGCCACAGGCCCTGCACACCGATGTCCTGTCCAACAGCGGTGGCCACCATCATTCCAATGATATTTCCTTGAACGAGCTGTCCAAGGCGCCCTTCAAGCCAAGCGCCTTCCTGGGGGCTAAGCACGAGCCCAGCTCCGGGTCTGGCTATGACTATGCCACGCCCAGCAATCAGTATCTGCAGCCCCCAACCTCGTCAGGATACGACTACCAGGCCCCCCCGCCCCAGGTGCTGTACGGTGCACCAGGGCACTCGGGGGACTCGGCCACGCCCATATTCGAGCCAGAGGCCACCTACCTGCCGCCCGTGCCCACCCACGGATATCATTAAATTATTAAACTACTTTTAAGAGCTTTAAGCGCAACAATCTATTGTAATTTTTTTTATATCGAAATAATAAAAAAACGAAATGGAAAACGTAAATGCTGCCACGCCCCCTTCCACTCTCTCTTGGATGAGAAGTGGAAGTGCCCTTTCAGGACGGCAGCTGGAAAGCTGGACAGATTCCAGATGCTTAAAATGCAGGGCACATCCAACGGTTCACGATTTCTCGTAGCTCGTTTTCTGATTACGGATTTCGCTTGCTCGAAATTTTTTGAATTGTGATTTGAATTGATGCGAGAAACTATATCAAGAAAAAAAGCAATAATAAAAACTATAGAGAGAAAGGAAAGAAAGGAGAGGAGAGCAGACAGCATAGTGGTGTTTTGTGGGAGTGGAGTGCCATGGCTCTGCAACGCCTGTGGCATGGCCAATTAGCTTGGAAGCCAACGATCCCAGCGATTGCTTGTGGAACTTCTGCTGGTGTTGCATTTACCAACCAGCAGAAGAGAAATTGAGTGGTCCCCATCTAGGTGAGATTTGATGATTGTTGGTTTGATACCCCTAAAAAGGGATCCTTCACACAGTTCGAGGGATCTACCAATCTAATCTGCAAAGAAATCGAGATAATACTTCTGAGAATAGACTTCTATTCAATTAAAAGATGAGACAGAAGACGAAATCTTTCCCCACGATTCCAAATGATGAACCTTATATCGTCAACATAGAGAGAAGAGACGACCTCCATAAGATTATGATTTCATATATTCGTTTAAACGAATAAAGCAAAAATTAGGAACATGATCCAAAGAAGATGAAAGTTTTACCCCCAAAAACTGACCTAATCTAAATTCCAAGCGATATATCCACATACCATTCGTAGTCTGAGAGTTTTTTTGGTGAATTTGGATTCATTAATCAGTATGCCAGACCATACTCTCCCTCCGGAATAATTCGATTAGTGTGTCAGAAAAAAGGGAGAGAACATTCATGGGTCTACTTAAAGATTATCCACTAGTTAGATACTCCAAGTGCAGATCTTTCCACAGAGATTTCTCATTCCACTGTAATCCTCTCTCCATTGGTTGTCTCTGATCATGATGGATGGTCAAAACGCACTTAATCATCCTCTCTCTTGCCGCCAAACTCTGTTGCATAATTCGGCCAACCAGTTGTGGCATTTGATCCTTATGGCATTATCGCTGACCCAGTTCAGAGTCGGAGCTGGAGTTCGGAAAGTGAAAGGATGACAGCTGGAGTGATGGACATGTTGGGAATGATGGGCATGTGCCTGTGCATGTGCATGGGCATGGGTATGGGCATAGGCATAGGGCCCCCACTGCGCTGGTCTTGAGATGAACTTGAGGCTTGGGATAGAGCCATGATTCTGTCTGTCTGGCTTTTTCTGCTATCGGGATGGAGGGGGTGGGGGGTTCTCCCACGTTCATTAGCATAATTGAGCCGCCACATCCGGCCAGATCCGGAAGCGGCCAGAATTCGCTCACTGAGACGTGACTTGGACTGTGACTGTGACTTAAACCAAATGCTCAAGATCTCATAGAGATTTCGTCAGGGTCAAAGCTGCGTGAAAGTTACGCAACTCTGAACTCCAGCCCTCTGCCCCTCTTTCCCACTATGTATTTCTCTTTTGTCATTCTCGTTTTTCTTTCATTGGAATCTTTGCTGTGTTTTCTATATGTTTATGTGTCGACAAATTCATTCAAGCACAAAACAAAAGAAAGGTAAAAGGGCAGGGAGGGAGATCTCTGGCACAATAAATTAGATAAGTTTTTGAAGGCCCTCCCTCCCTCCGCTGGGGATGGCTGTGACAGGTGCAGAGAGAGATGGAGCGTGCTTTATGGCTCTGCTCATTAGCTATCGATAACTGATCGATATCTCCATCGATCAATGTAGATTGCTGCTGGCCAAATTATGTGCGAACTTTGGACAAAAGTTCACCAGGGTTGGATGCCAAGAGGGGGGTCTTACACATTGGCAGAGAAAAAAGTAGCTTGATTTATCGAAGGCTTCAATACCCTTGCTAATAGATAAAGGGATCTAAATAGATCAAATGAGTCCATCACGGAGTATACCAATTTCCAAAGCCATTAAATATAATTTAAAACCTTTCTAACTGGATGAATCTACATACATATATACATACGTATGTATGCACATACATATATGGGAAATCAAGCAGAAACCATATCATACCACGTACAGAGCAGTAAATATCAGAATTTTTGAATACATAACATATTTTTAAATGCATACGAAAGCCATGTGTTCCCAAACATGTGTGGAAAATAATAATACCATCTGACAAAGTGTATTAAAAAGCGTTAAATATTATACCATTTCATCGTTATTGTTGTTCCACCATGCCATGGGTTTTATTATCGCTTTTGTTATTTATGACTTTTACGCCTGATTTTTGTTAATTTTTACCCACACTTCACACTCCACACTCCATAAGGTAGGGATCGGGAACTGGCAGAAATAAAATGAAATGGCTGTGAGGTTGTGGCAGGTTGAGGTTTCTTCGGTATCGGTATTAAAGTGCAGCAGCAGCGGACGACAACGACCATTCACTTTTCATTTCATATCGTTCATGTTGTTATTTCGAATGTGGTAACATTTTGTGTTGTTAAATCATTTCTTGCTTTTTCTCTTTTCCACCATTTCTTCTTGTGGGCAAGTACCACAACGGATGGAAGGGATCACCAGAGGGATCAGCAAAGTTCAAATATAGCCAGGAAGAGAAAGAGGATCCCTATTTCCCCTAGAGAGAGAAAAGAAGGAACAACAACAAGGTGTTCAACTCAAGGAATTTTCCATCGGAAAATCGCCTATTATACTTTAGGACTATCAGAGTGCCAGAAGCATCTCCAGGATATAATATACTCAGTATATTTATAACACCAGGGAGCAAAATGTATAATCTTTTGGTGCAGATAAAAACTAAAAAGTCTTTCCTTCGGTTTCGGCTCTTTAGATCCTAGTAAGTCAGCATTCGAATCAGCTATAGCCAATGATTTCTGAATATTGTTTACAGGAATTTTACAGGTTTTTTTTTTCAGATACACCTTTGTAACCATTTTCATTCGCAATCCAAAATTATTTTAGAGGCTATTGATTTTTTCACATCAACACTTCATCGTTCCTATGGCAGTTAAATATATTACTATATTGATTCTATCTCGACTATTCCGTATGCATGAAACTCTTAATTCTGTTCTTCCAGCAAGCACTTTCACAGACAACTCATGACGCAAAAATTCTATGGCCTGTTCTCCATTCCACACTCAATGCATGGATCACAATTTCAGAGGTGGTGAAATGTATACAAACATATACAAAATCGAAAATCAGTAGTAAAGGGCGGTGACGGCTCACTTTTTCTAGGTTGTTCAGTAAGTTTTTCGGTTCGATAAGAAAAACACAATTTGAAATACACTTTATTATTCAGTATAGTCTCCCTGAACACCTGTTCCAACGATATTCCAATCTATGAATTATGAATTTTGAATACGCTTCCACATTCCACAGCAAATATTTTGATGATCAGTAATACTAAACTTAATATATAATATATTGTACAAATTACATTTATCATTAGCTCGCATACATATGTATATACTGACTGAGTGCCGGCCTTTGCCGCGGCTCAAAACGTTCTCGATGGTTTTTTTGGCCTCTTGGTGCTTCTCTTTCGCTTGGGAAATGGGCCTTTTGGTAACAGTTGGTCAGTTGGTTTTTGCAGATATCAAGTTTATTTGCAAGTGCACCGCCAAAAATAGTCACGAATTTGAGAAAAGTTGTCATCAAATACTGCAAGGGGAGGGAGTTCTTATACCCGATGAGTATAGTTTAGATTTTAGATTTAGATTTGTTTCAGATTTGTGGGGAAAATGAATGTGTGTAACGTCCAGAAGGAAGCGTTTCCGATCCCATAAAGTATATATATTCTCGATCAGCATCAATAGCCAAGTTGATACAGCCAAGTGTGTCTGTCCATCTGTCCGTCCATATGAGCGCTCAGAGACTATAAAAGCTAGAGCAACGACATTTTGTATCCAGACTTCTGTGATATGTCAAAATCTGTGAGAATCTGTGAAAATAATCTGTGCAAAATCATAGAGAATGATTATATCAACCAGATTGCTCAATCTGGATCAGATCGGATCATTATTATAGCCAAAACGAACAAATCAATTTTTGGTCGCTACTCAGCGCCCGACGACACGTTCTGACTGATTTTCTTTCTCTCGAAGGAGGAGGATGTTTCCGGATTACCAATAAATAAGCTTTGTTTAAATGTTAAATCCAAAATGTTTTATTTCAAACTCAATATCTTGGATTTTAATTCTCAATTAAGACTGACTGCATGACCTTTGTCTTGCCGTTCTTATGATTGTTGCTGGTCTTCCTCTGTGGACGTCGCTGACTCTGTATTTCCAAAAATAGCTTATTTACCATTCTTGAACGATGAGCTCTTGGCTGTCGCAATCACATCCTGCCTAGTGCTGACGCCTGTGTTTATACCAGTGTCATTCGATGCGATAATGTTCTACATATTGTGGGTTAGGCTAAGTCCAAACGTGTGGGCTTGGCGGGGGAGCGTCGATGGGTTTCGAGGGGATTATTCCTCCCCACCTAGACTGAAGAGAGGGCCATAATGGAGGTATGGTCGGAACGGAGCTGGAATCCGAATGAAATTGGAGGTCGATGGTTACTTTTCTTCTTTTGATGAATAAAATGCCCGTGCAGGTTAGGCTCCCAGCCAAATATGTTATATGTAGAGATGAGATGGTTTTTGGCTATTGCTCTTATTTCGATGATAGGGGCGTTATCCTGCGTGAAATTTAGGTGTAACGTTTGTAGATTTAACTATTCCATAGGTCTGTTTGTTGTTATGTTAGTTTCGAGTGGTAGTTGAATTTTGATGTCTTCGGTCAATTCGAGTGTGTTGTCTCCATAGGTGATATCGTTGATCTTAATTGTGTAGTTTTCGAATTTTATAGTTTCTGTCCCATTG